ATTTCATTATATATAAATATGATCATTATATATAAAAGTAAATCCCCATCTATATTCCTCTGAGAAAATTCTCTTAAGGATAACATTTCAGCATCATGTAGAATGACTAAATAAGATGCAGGGGAACTGGTTATGAAATGCAGGCTTAATATAAGAAGACACTTAGGAAACCCTCGTACCTTATTCTCACTGGAAATCAGGATCATAGGCTTGGGCAGAAGGAAGAGGCCTGGTAGGATTAAAATATTTTATGATCAGGGCCATATTTTATTCATTTTTATAATTCCCACAAGTCCTAGAGCAACGCCTTCCATGTCTGTAGCATGAAAGCAGAAGGAGGGAGGAAGGGAGTGGGGTTTTCTCATATTTTCAAAGTGGAGAATGGAGAGCCAGTCCAGAAAGAGGAGGCTCATATTTCTAAATGTTTAGCATTTGAGTGCTCGTGAGGCTCTTTCCTCCTTCCTTCCTGCGTCCCTCCTTTCCTCTCCCACAGACATCACCATGTCAACTGTATGTCAGGCATCCGCTATGAGAGTTATATTGCAAGCTCTGTAAGGACAGGAACATCGCAACATTTGGTGTGATGCTCCTTACATGTGACATTTTAAAATGTCGGTCACTGACTAACTACATAAACTCAGAGGATCCTTTTCTTCTTGAATCCAAGGGAGTTTGTGGACTTGGAGAAAGTTGGGTTATAACTGCCTAAAGTGTTTGGCTTTTCTAGAGAAAAAAGAGATGAAGAATAGCACAGCTTCTGCCCTAAACAGTCTCATTATCCAATGGGGGTGACAAAGCCAGACTCTACAGAGCAGTGCTGAACAATATATATCTTTATATAAAATGGGGCCAAAAAGGGTGTGGTGCAAACTATAAGTACTCAAAGGTTAGGGAACTTAGTGAGTACAGGCTGCATCAGAGCACAGGTCCCCCAGCTGGGACTTGAGATGGACTTTGTAGGATTGTGAGGACCTTAGGGATGAGGTCTGTTGTCCAAGATCTGTCTTGGGGGTTTGTGTGCTTCTGGGGCAAGGTCAGCGTTCACTAGAAAGCAAGTTCCCACTGCTGTCACCCTGGTTGCCCAGATGCTCAATCTTGTAGACCCAGGGGATGCATCTGGGCTAGAGTTTCTGCTTGGAGAAGGTAATGCCACCAGCCGGACAAGTGACAGAGCTCAGCAAAGTGTCATGCTTGTGAGGATACAACCTGGGGTCAGGGCTATGCACACATGTGTTTGTGGTATTGCTTTGCTGGGACAGGCTGCCTCCTTTTCTCCTCGGGCAGGTAGGGTTCTGGTTCATGGCTTACCAAAGAGAGTACTGGTTTGTGTCCATAAGTCATAGTAGACAGTCCCCTCTTTTCTTCTTCTGTGCACAAGTGGTTGATGCTCTGTTTACCCTGCATCTTTGTGGGGGTATAAAAATAACCCCTTTTCATTAGCATTTTCTTCCTACTAGCAATCCTACTTTATCTGTCACCTGCTGTCCCGCAATACTGGGCTGGAGTGTGTTAACTCAACATTCTGTGTTTGTGTCAGCATACAGCTAAAGCTCTGAGTGGCTGTCAAAAGCATTATGAGGCTCTATGAGTAGGTGTCTGGCCTCCAACATTAAAGATTTTCTCGTTGCTGCTACTGCACTCAAATGGGTGGGTGCATTTGTTAACCGAGTGCATGGTGAGGCTGCAGCTTCCCCACTGGCCCTTGTACTGTGCCAAGATGTTGATTCCTCTCAACTCTTGGGACTGGGGAGAAGGAGGGCCAGGGCCTTCTGTCTAGTGTGTTAATTTGGGTCCTCCAAGAAGCAGATGCTGGAGAGAGATTAGCTGTGCAAAATGTTTATTGGGGGAAAATTCCTTTGAGGAAAAATGGGGAGGGAGACTGCGGATGCTGGGCCAGCTATCAGGTCTTGGAGCAGCCCAACCAACCCCTGTGGAGAGAGGGAAGGAGGGGAGGCTGCGTAGGAAAAGGTATAGGCTGCGGTGCAGTTCTAAGAAAGGTTGGGCAAAGCTGATGTGGAGTCTCTGAGCCATGGTGACCCTTCAGAGGGGTCCCATATCCCTGTCTTAGTGCCCCTGCTGCAATCAGTCATTGGCTGGGTTCAGCATGACTGCAGTCATGAATTCCAGACCATTGGTCAGACTACACACTCCTCATAGTGGGAGATCTATCTGCAAGGTGCATTTTCATGGCTATTACATCTAGTCACCTCTGGCAGCGAGGAGCTTACTCCACTTACTCAAGTGTGCCGCTTCTCGAAGGCTGGAACCAGAGATGGTACAGAGGGCCAGGCACGGCCATTTAGCTTTTGAGGCATTGTATGAATTTAACCACAGAAACCCAGGTACTAAGCACTTGTTATTATGACAAATACTTGTTTCCCCTGCTTGAGAAAAAATGGTGGACACTACATGTTTACTTCTTGCTACCGCACTGAAAGCATATTGCAAAAATAAGCGGCTCACGGCTCACCGTTTGGGAATTTCAGATATTACCAATACAGGTTCTCTCCATTCAGGCCCTATGCATGTAGTACCTTGTTTCCCTTCTTTATATTCCACTTAGCAGAAAGCAGAGGTCATAGTATCATCCATGGTAATTGCCAAGTAACTTTTAGAAAACGAGTCCTTCCTAGGATTCCACTAGAGTGTTGGAAAAGTGATGTTCTTACACAGGCACCCTAAACCATGTGCAGTGTATGTGGTGCGTCTTCCCTTCTCTTTCCTGACTTGTTTTATTGTAGTCATTTGACACTGCACATGGAAGGCTGCCCACTGTTCTATGATGGGTCAAGTGCTCATGGTGGTTACATACCCATCACTTATTTTTTCTTGCTGGCAAAGGTTAAGATAAAATATTTCTCACTATTATGGGGGAGTGGGCCAAATACTGAAGCAGGAACAAGTAAGGTAAAAATATTTTTGACAGAAATCTGCTTTCATTCTCACCTATTACTCTAGTTCTCTACATTACTGCCAAAGTGATAGATCTTATATGAAAACCTGACTGTTTTACTGTCCTGCCTAAAATCTTTCAATAGTTCTATATTACCATTGGGTTAAAAATAAAAACTTCTTAGCATGACAGAGGAGTCTCTTTATGACCTGGCCCCTGTGGTCTAGAGTTTTTCTCTCTCTTTGTCTCTGTCTCTGTCTCTCTCCACCTATTCTCTTCTTACTCCACTGCTGATTCCCTAAATCCATCAGATTTCTTAAATTCCTCTGTATTTCTACATTATATTATTAGGTTATCCTAGTGACTGTTAACACAGAACCACTCACATTTCAGTGACTACACAAGTGAAGTTAACTTTTCACTCAAGTAACAGTCCAGTGCAGGTTTTCCTGGTTGGCGGATGGCTTTCTCCCACCTGGTGTCTCAGGGACGCAGATTTCTTCAATGTGGTGACTCTGTCTACCTATACCTATAGGGCCTTTGTTTCTGCCCCATCCATATGATAAATGGGGAAAGAGAAGGGAGAAAACTCACCTACTTCTTCAGTGCTGTGGCACACATCAGTTTTGCTTATATTCCATCGGTGAGAACCCAACCAAATGCCAGAGAGCTGGAAACACAATCTCTGGCCAAGCAGCCACTTCCTGACAACTGTTCTACACATTGGCAAACAAAAATCCTAGGGAACATTTATTTGTCTCTGCCGTTACTCACGTGCTGCCACCCACATGTGCAGCCTGGATCCCAACTCATTCCCTGATTCAGGTCATCTGGACAAATCTTATGTGACCTTTTAAGATTCATCTAAAGCTTTGCATCATTCACAGAGCTTTGGAGTGTCTCCTCTTTATACTCGTATAACATGGGGTACTTACCAGCTGTCATAGCACACGTCACGTTGTATTATAATTGTTTGCTTATGGATCTTCATTTTACAAACTTCAGCTCCTGTAGGACTGGGACTGTATTTTTATTTTAAGTCTATAAATGTCTGAAACAAAATATGCACCCAACAAATGTTTTATTGAATAAATGAAAGGCCATTAGATGACTAGATTTACAAAAGTGTGGTAAAACCTCCAAACTTTGATGTTTTAATGAGTGAACTGTGGATTTATCCTAAAACAAATACATCAATCCTAAGTTTAAATTGAGGAATGTGTGGACCTCTAAAGTTTCTTTGTGATTTTGTTAATAAATCCACAATATTAAGAGAGTTCACATTTATCAGATTACCATGAGCATCCTAACAGAGTCTGTAAACTCAAAAGTCAAGGATTGTCACTTGAGTTCAACTCTTTGCTAAGGGAATATTGTATCATTAGAATGCGTCTGGCTGCAGGTAAGCAGAAACTTGATTTTACATTGTTTGAAAAATTAGAAAATGTATTATGTCACATAACGGGAAGTCTAGAATTAGGGTAGCTCCAGGATAGGTTGATCCAGGGCTCAGTGAAGGCATCCAGGACCTGGGTTCTGTCTATATCTCAGTCCAGCCATCCTCAGTATATTGACTGTGTCCTTGGACTATATCCCCTCAAGGTCACAAGATACCTGCCAGCAAAAAGTAGAGAAACATATTGATCATATCCTGAGGGAGAGAATAAGAACACTTGTCCCCTAACCACAGTATATAAGTGCAACCTTTTAGTCTGATGGGGCTGTCTCAGATATGTGCTGATCTGTGGACCAGAAACTTTCTCCAGGGGAATTCCATCTCCTGACTGATTCGATTACAGTATCTCTCATGGAGCCAAGGTTTTCTTGAGCACTTGGATGGATAGAAGAGGTGGGTAGCTCTTCTCTCCAAAATCTGTGGGTCCATTAGGAAGGAAAAAAGGAGAAGTATTAACAGTGTCCATCGCAAATATTTTAACAATACAGTCTGTTGAGCTGGTATCTATGGAAGAGTGAACAATTTTCTAAACCAGGCAATGACCCTTTCTCCTGCCACCTATACAAGTTACAAATCATATATTTGAAAGCATCTAGTAGTGAACATTTTAGATTACATTTCTCCAGTGCAATTATTTATTCTTTATTTTAGGCCTTGTAATGGGATTAATTTTACGATACGCTACAGCACCAACTGATATTGAAAGTGGAACTGTGTATGATTGTGGAAAACTGGTCTTCAGCCCTTCAACTCTGCTGATTAATATCACTGACCAAGTTTATGAATATAAATACAAGAGAGAAATAAGCCGGCAGAACATCAGTCCTCATCAAGGCAACGCTATACTTGAAAAGGTAAGGATCCTCCCTCTCTGGTCACATATTTTTGTTTTCCAGTATAAATAATTGCGTCATATATGAGCCACCATAAGTAACGCATCCATACACATACATATGCCCTTTTTCAACACCACACTAATGGGGTGATTTAGCTAAGTGGTTAATGCCTTGATATACCCTGATTTTAAGCTCAGTTGTCTGTATTTTTTTTCTAGAAGTTGGAAAAATAATGCTTTTTATTATAACTGTTTTGTAAGCCACAGTTACATTAGGTAAAAAGATAATAGTAATTAAGCTGACTCCGCCTTTCATGTTACTTGATTCAAGTTTTCACATGTTTTTTTTTTTTTTAATTTTTGGTTGCGTTGGTTGCTGCACATGGACTTCCTCTAGTTGCGGTGAGCAGGGGCTACTCTTTGTTGTGGTGCGCGGGCTTCTCCTTGCAGTGGCTTCTCTTGTTGCAAAGCACGGGCTCTAGGCACGCAGGCTTCAACAGTTGTGGCACACGGGCTTAGTAGCTGCGGTGCTTGGGCTCAGTAGTTGGGCTTAGTCGTTGTGGCTCGCGGGCTCTCAAGCACAAGCTCAGTAGTTGTGGCGCACGGGCTTAGTTGCTCCACGGCATGTGGGATCTTCCAGACCAAGGATGGAACCTGTGTCCCCTGCATTGGCAGGAGGATTCTTAACCGCTGCACTACCAGGGAAGTCCCACATGTGTGTTTTAAGTGTTGTTGTATGTATTACCAGCTGGCTATGCAGTTTAAATATCCCTTAAATCAAAAGGAAAATGGAGGAGAATAAAAAAATTTTCACTTGCAAGCCTTGATCTAGAATGGCTGACTTTTAGCTGCCAACACAAAACATTGGCCACTTGGCTGTTTATAAATACACTGACACACAGTCAATCTCAAGAGATCTTGACTCCATCAGTTTAGTTAGGGAATCTTAAATTGAAAAAAGAATTGTGAAGTTACTCATATTTTAAAAATGTTTTTATTATTGCAAATGCGTGAATTGCTTCAGTTATTAGGAGGGAAACTTTCTTCTACTCTCAGGACTCTGGGTCAGAAAACAGGTGAGGTTACCTTCTGTGGTGTCTTGTGTGTGGATCAGTCTTTGGAATAAGTGAATTTGTGTTTAACAACACAAGTACGTGCTAAGAATCAGGATCTTATGAGATTTATTCTAGATCGTTTTGTGTCAGAGCCGAGAACTTCCTTGCTATTATGGAAGTGCACTTTATCAATTTTATCCCATATAAATTTAGTTTTCTTTTAAAATACACATTTTTTTTCCATTTCAAGAGATTTGAGACAGGAGGGGAGATACATGATCTGGATTTTTCTTCATTCAAGATGAGTAATTTCTAGTGTTTTTTTTTTCACATTATCTTCCACTAGCACATTCTAGATTAACTTCCTCCTAGCACTTGGTGAGGGCTCAGGAAAGTCAAACTGATTATAATACTAGCCTAAATCAGACTTAGTAAAGTGAAGTGAAGCACAAAAAAGCAAATTAAATCATGTATTTCTGAAGTAAATAGGAGCAACTTCTAGATCTGCTATTTTGGATGATCTCTTCCATGATATTCTTTCTATTTACATGAATAATAGAAAACTATCTATCTTGAAATAATTTTTTAAAGTGACCTTGTTAGCGGCATAATTTAAACACCGTCTTCAGTTTTACTTTGCTTAGTATCGGAACATAAATTATTTCCCTCCTCATTCTCTTACCTATTTTATCTGCATTTCTAAGCAGCACTATTTCTCCAAACAGGTTGACCACCACCACCCCCCGTCCCAAAGATGCTGATAATTATCTCTGGTTTTTTTATAGCAAATTGTTCTCTAACAGGATAGCCTACAAACACCTGATCAGAAATTTTGTTACTGTGCTGTTCACCTATTGATTTTTTTTATCAGCAGCCAAACTCCAGTGTTTGCTTTTGAAAAATTAAGGCAAGAGATGGAGAAAATGTCTAAGTTTCTGGGGCCTTCTTGATCTTTTCATTGGGTGGATTATGAGTTCTGCACATGAAGTGTTTCAATGACCTTGAATGCTCAAGTATTTTATAGACTAACTTCTAAATTGCGTGACTTATTTTTTTTTAACTTTTTTAAAAATCTTTATTGGAGTATAATTGCTTTACAATGGTATGTTACTTTCAGCTTCACAACAAAATGAATCAGTTATATATATACATATGTTCCCATATCTCTTCCCTCTTGCGTCTCCCTCCCTCCCACCCTCCCTATCCCACCCCTCCAGGCGGTCACAAAGCACCGAGCTGATCTCCCTGTGCTATGCGGCTGCTTCCCACTAGCTATCTACCTTACATTTGGTAGTGTATATATGTCCATGCCTCTCTCTCGCTTTGTCACAGTTTACCCTTCCCCCCTCCCCATAGCCTCAAGTCCATTCTCTAGTAAGTCTGTGTCTTTATTCCTGTTTCACCCCTAGGTTTTTCATGACATTTTTTTTTCTTAAATTCCATATATATGTGTTAGCATACGGTATTTGTCTCTCTCTTTCTGACTTACTTCACTCTGTATGACAGACTCTAGGTCTATCCACCTCATTACAAATAGCTCAATTTCGTTTCTTTTTATGGCTGAGTAATATTCCATTGTATATATGTGCCACATCTTCTTTATCCATTCATCCGATGATGGACACTTAGGTTGTTTCCATCTCTGGGCTACTGTAAATAGAGCTGCAATGAACATTTTGGTACATGACTCTTTTTGAATTATGGTTTTCACAGGGTATATGCCCAGTAGTGGGATTGCTGGGTCATATGGTAGTTCTATTTGTAGTATTTTAAGGAACCTTCATACTGTTCTCCACAGTGGCTGTATCAATTTACATTCCCACCAACAGTGTAAGAGGGTTCCCTTTTCTCCACACCCTCTCCAGCATTTATTGTTTCTAGATTTTTTGATGATGGCCATTCTGACTGGTGTGAGATGATATTTCATTGTAGTTTTGATTTGCATTTCTCTAATGATTAGTGATGTTGAGCATTCTTTCATGTGTTTGTTGGCAGTCTGTATGTCTTCTTTGGAGAAATGTCTATTTAGGTCTTCTGCCAATTTTTGGATTGGGTTGTTTGTTTTTTTGTTATTAAGCTGCATGAGCTGCTTATAAATTTTGGAGATTAATCCTTTGTCAGTTGCTTCATTTGCAAATATTTTCTCCCATTCTGAGGGTTGTCTTTTGGTCTTGTTTATGGTTTCCTTTGCTGCGCAAAAGCTTTGAAGTTTCATTAGGTCCCATTTGTTTATTTTTGTTTTTATTTCCATTTCTCTAGGAGGTGGGTCAGAAAAGACCTTGCTGTGATTTATGTCATAGAGTGTCCTGCCTATGTTTTCCTCTAAGAGTTTGATAGTTTCTGGCCTTACATTTAGGTCTTTAATCCATTTTGAGCTTATTTTTGTGTATGGTGTTAGGGAGTGAGCTAACCTCATACTTTTACATGTAGCTGTCCAGTTTTCCCAGCACCACTTATTGAAGAGGCTGTCCTTTCTCCACCGCACATTCCTGCCTCCTTTATCAAAGATAAGGTGACCTTATGTGCGTGGGTTTATCTCTGGGCTTTCCATCCTGTTCCATTGATCTATATTTCTGTTTTTGTGCCAGTACCATACTGTCTTGATTACTGTAGCTTTGTAGTATAGTCTGAAGTCAGGGAGCCTGATTCCTCCAGCTCCGTTTTTCGTTCTCAAGATCGCTTTGGCTATTCGGGGTCTTTTGTGTTTCCATACAAATTGTGAAATTTTTTGTTCTAGTTCTGTGAAAAATGCCAGAGGTAGTTTAATAGGGATTGCATTGAATCTGTAGATTGCTTTGGGTAGTAGAGTCATTTTCACAATGTTGATTCTTCCCATCCAAGATCATGGTATATCTCTCCATCTATTTGTATCATCTTTAATTTCTTTCATCAGTGTCTTATAATTTTCTGCATACAGGTCTTTTGTCTCCTTAGGTAGGTTTATTCCTAGATATTTTATTCTTTTTGTTGCAATGGTAAGTGGGAGTGTTTTCTTGATTTCACTTTCAGATTTTTCAACCTTAGTGTATAGGAATGCCAGAGATTTCTGTGCATTAATTTTGTATCCTGCTACTTTACCAAATTCATTGATTAGCTCTAGTAGTTTTCTGGTAGCATCTTTAGGATTCTCTATGTATAGTATCATGTCATCTGCAAACAGTGACAGCTTTACTTCTTCTTTTCCGATTTGGATTCCTTTTATTTCCTTTTCTTCTCTGATTGCTGTCACTAAAACTGCCAAAACTATGTTGAATAATAGTGGTGAGAGTGGGCAACCTTGTCTTGTTCCTGATCTTAGTGGAAATGCTTTCAGTTTTTCACCATTGAGGATAATGTTGGCTGTGGGTTTGTCATATATGGCCTTTATTATGTTGAGGAAAGTTCCCTCTATGCCTACTTTCTGCAGGGTTTTTATCATAAATGGGTGTTGAATTTTGTCCAAAGCTTTCTCTGCATCTATTGAGATGATCATATGGTTTTTCTCCTTCAATTTGTTAATATGGTGTATCACATTGCGTATATTGAAGAATCCTTGCATTCCTGGAATAAACCCCGCTTGATCATGGTGTATGATCCGTTTAATGTGCTGTTGGATTCTGTTTGCTAGTATTTTGTTGAGGATTTTTGCATCTATGTTCATCAGTGATATTGGCCTGTAGTTTTCTTTCTTTGTGACATCCTTGTCTGGTTTTGGTATCAGGGTGATGGTGGCCTCGTAGAATGAGTTGGGGAGTGTTCCTCCGGCTGCTATATTTTGGAAGAGTTTGAGAAGGATAGGTGATAGCTCTTCTCTGAATGTTTGATAGAATTCGCCTGTGAAGCCATCTGGTCCTGGGCTTTTGCTTGTTGGAAGATTTTTAATCACAGTTTCAACTTCAGTGCTTGCAATTGGTCTGTTCATATTTTCTATTTCTTCCTGATTCAGTCTTGGCAGGTTGTGCCTTTCTAAGAATTTGTCCATTTC